GAGACCCACTGTGAGATCCAGGCTGCGTTCCTGACACCATCTCAGCTCTTTTCCCTTTTCACCTCCCCCGGTTGCTTCCACTTGCCCACCTTTGGTTGTTTCAATGTACGGATCTCTCAGACACGTTTGTGCACTGAGCACAGAATCCTTTGTTGAATTATAGGTGTTCAAATTGTTGAAACTTCAAGGGGAGAAACCAAGGGGACCTCTAAGGATTCCATTCCTCTGACCACAAATCCCACTTCTGATGCCAAATGTGTGAGGGTTTTCTTTAAGACCACTCTTTAAGTTCCATGATTCACAGGTAGGCTCACAGGACTCAGAAGAGCTGTTATACTCGTGGTTTTGGTTTATTATAATGAGAGGACACAGATTAAAGTGAGCAAAGGCAAAAGGTACATAGGACAAGCTTATAGCAGCCCATTCCCAGTGGATATGTTTAATTCTCCCTGCAACTGTGTGTGACAACATGGGCAAAGTATGGTCAAACAGGGAATTTCATTTGAGCCTGTTATCCATGGATTTTATCAGGAATCGGTCAGTATACATGCAGAGCCCCTTTGACTGACTTCAACTACTCATAATCCAGGCCTCAGAGCAAAAGTGCATTCACCAAGAATCATACAGTTAGAATAATCTCTCCAATTAGTACACTGCCAACTGGCCCAAGGCTCCGGTCCAGACACACGCAAATATTCTTATTGTGCAGAATATTCCAAGGTCTCATAGCTTTTCTTCCAGGAATCCATCAGGGAACATTCCTAAAGACAGGCCTTTCTTGGTAATGTGCGGAGTTTGTACAACCTCTGCCTGCTGAGTTAACCTTTTCCTTAACAACTTGTCTTTTTATTCTCTTAACAGTGTCTTTTGAAGAACATAAGCTCCTAATTTGATTAATTCTGTTTTATCAAGTTGTCTTAAAAGTGTTTGCTCAAATATGGGAAATATTTTTCCAACTTTAAGGTCACAGTGTTTCTTGCATGTCTTTCAGAAATTTTAAGTGTTAGGTTGCACATTTATATCTATGATCCATTTTTTAAATAATTATGAAATGAGTTATTAATATTCTTTTTTTTGGCATATAGCTATGAACTGTTCCAACACAAATTGTTGAAAGATCTATCTTTCTGTTTTGGATTGCCTTTGCACGTTTACCGAAAATTAATTAACTATATATGGGTGGATCTATTTCTAGGCTCTTCATTTGTTTTCCATTCTGTGCTTTGGCTGTTCCAATTCCTCAGTTCTTTGTTTCTGTCTTACTCCAATACCACATTGTTTTATTTACTGAAGTTTTATAATAAGTCTTGAAGTTAAGAAGTATGAGTTACCTAACTTTGTTGTTTGTACTAAAATTATTTTATATTTTTATATAAATTTATATATAAAAGTTGGCTTGTCATCTATGCCATAAAAAAGCTAACTGGAATATTATTGAGATTGTCCTGAATCTATAGTTTATGAGGAGAACTGACATACTAAGTGTCAATTCAGATCCGTGGCCACTGTATGATCTTTGTATTGATTTAGGTCTTTATTTGGTATTTTAAAAATTTATCTCACCAATATTTTGTACTTCACTATATCAGCATGCTAAAAAAGAAAAAAAACTTTATCATCTCAATGAATTCACACAGAAAAAGTAACAAAATTTAATATTAATTCACATTTTTTCTGCAAAAGAATTAATTACTCATTTCAGAGAAAGGAGGAGGAAGAGAGAGAGAAACATCAATTTTGTTGTTCCACTTATTTGTGCATTCACTGGTTGATTCTTGTATGTGCCCTGACTGAGGATCAAACTTGCAACCTTGGTGTATCCAGATGATGCTCTAACCAACTGAGCTACCTGGCCAGGGCTAATTCATGATTTTTAAAAAAGAGTTCAAAAATTGTAATCAAAGTGTGGGAATCTTTTATATATTTTTTCAAATCATTTCTTTTGTATTTCATATTTTTGATGCTATTAAAATAATATTCTTTTTTAAAATTCCAATTTCCAGTTATTTATTCCTAGTACATACAAATGCAATTAATAGTATCTATTCATCCTATCAATAGGATAAATCCTATCACCCTATTGATAGGATGAATAGTATCTATTCATCCTGCACCTAGGAAGCATGATAAACGTCTTTATTCTAGTCGCTTTTTTCTATATGGTATATGATTTTCTTTGTAGCTAGTCATGTCATCTGACATCAAAGGCAGTTTTACTTATTCATTTCTACCTGAATGTATTTTATATCTTTTTCTCAATTTATTATACTGCCCTCGAACATTTAGTAATATATTGAATAACAGTGATGAGAATCAACATTTTTGCTTTGTTCCTGATCTGAGCAGATAGCATTCACTCTTTCACTATTGAGTGTGATTTTAGCAGTAGGTTTTTCATTGATGCCCTTAATTAAGTTGAGGAAATTACCTTCTGTTAAATTTTATGTAGTCTTTTTTAAAATCACAATTGACACAATTTTGTCACTTTGAATTTATTAAGAACTAATTTTTTTTTGTTCTGTTTATAGGTAAATTACATTGATTTTTTAAAAATTGATTTTGGTTGTTTAACTGGAATAACTTCCACTTTGCTGTAATATAGTAATCATTTTTATTAATTGAAAGATTTAATTGGCTAAAATTTTATTAAGATTTTTGCATTTGTGTTCATGAGAGAGATTGGTCTATAGTTTTCTCTTGACATCTTTGCAATACTAGCTTCATAGAAATTGAGAAGTATTCTCTCTTCTAAAGAGTTTTTAAGAGAATTAGTATTATTCCTTGGATGTTTGTTAGAATTTTAGGTAAAGTCATCTGGACCTGGAGTTTTCTTTGTGTGGAAATTTTTAACTATAAATTCAGTGTCTTTACTGCTAGTCAGGTCTTCTCTGAATAAGTGTGGTAGTTCATGTCTTCAAAGAGTTTGTCCATTGCATCTAATTTGTCAAATTTATTGACATAAATTGTTCATCGCATTCTCTCATTACCATTTTCATGTTTGAATAATGTTACCTTTTTTAATTTGTGTCCCTTTTTTTCTCCCGTAATTAGTCTGAATAATTTTATTGACCTCAAAAAAGCAGCTTTGGGTTTCATTGATTTTTATTTTCTATTTTTCTTTTTGCTCTCCTATTTCATTGGTTTATGTTATTAATCATTATTTTTTTCCAATTAATTTTGGTTTTATTTGCCCTTTAAGGGCATTAATTTGAGAGCTGTCTTTTTTCTAATAGAGACTTAGTGATTTATTCTCATATGAGAACTGCTTTTGCTTCATCCCAGAAATTTTTATTTTGTTTTTATTTTAAGGCAGCTTGTAATTATTTTTCTATTGATTGCATCTTTAACCCATGGATTATGTAGAAGTCTGTTTTTAGTATCCAATTATTTACAAATTTTTACAGGTACATTTCTATGATTGATTTTCAATTCCATTGTTAGATCATATTTAATGTAATATCAATATAGTTGCATTGAAATGTATTTACTTGATTTTTCTTTCCTATTTGTCTTACCTTTTCTCCATTCCTGCTTTCTTCTCTTCCCATTTTCATGGATTAATTATGTATATTAAAAATAAACCCATTGTATTTACACTATTCGCTTATTAGTTACATCTCAATTTTTTGTGTGTAATTGCTCTAGCATTTATAAAGTATATTTTGTATTGTCACTGATTTACAGTTAGAAAAAGCTAATGGTAACCCTTGACATTGGGAGAATTCAACACTAGCTCATGTGTTTTAAAAACAAAAGGATAATAGAAAAAAATCCAGATTTCATTGTAACTTCCTACTGCCACACTGTCATATCTCATTTTCTCAAATACGTCAAGCACATTCCAGCCTCAGAGCCTATGTAATTAAAATTCTTTCTGTCTCTGGAACATTGTTTTGCTAGATAAATGACATAGCTTCTCTTTTGTCTTCTTTCTTTGCTGCTAAACTGTTAACCTAATCATAGAGTGATCTTTCCATATCATACTACATATTATACATACATACCTGTTCTGACTTTCTGTATTCTTAGTTTGATTTTTTTGTTTATTTTTTGTCATGGAACTTACTGCTCACTGGAATTACATATTTGTTTGTCTGGATTCCCCTCTTTGTTCTGTTCACCTTTGCATCCCTGACTCCTTCCACAGTACCTGGTAGTCAATAACTGATTGATAAAGATTTATTGAATGAATGATACTCATTTGTGTTTGTTTTTGTACAGTCTCCTTAGAAAGATATCTAATTTACCTGGTTACTGAAAACTCACCATTAAATTGCCTTTCAATATGAAATTAAAATGTATTGTTCAAAAACTCCATCTTACATGTTTTAAAAAAATTTTTTTTTAATCCTCACCTGAGGACATTTTTACATTGCTTTTTTAAAAGTATATTTTATTGATTATGCTATTACAGTTGTCCCATTTTTTTCTCCTTTATCTCCCTCTGCCCAGCACCCCCATTCCCTCCAGCAGTCCCCCCGGCTCTTAGTTCATGTCCATGGGTCGTACCTATAAATTCTTTGAAAGAGAGAGAAAGGGAAATAGGAAGGGAAAGAGAGAAATATTGATGCAAGAGGGAAGCATCTATTGGTTGCCTCCCATACGCACCCAGACCAGAGACTGAATGTGCCCAGACTGGGGATTGTGTGTACCTAGTTCAGGGATCAAACACACAAGCTAGGTATGTGCCCTGACTAGGAATCAAACCCTCAACCTTTCGAGGTGATACTCCAACCAATTGAGCCATCTTATATTTTTTATATTGAAAATATAAAATAAGATAGCCGGGCTATCTTATATTTTTTAATTTAACAATGGCATATTTTAGAGAACTTAGCACCTGCTGTATATTTTCGTTTCAAAGACTTTCTTCTCAGCTTTCTTGCTGCTGAATTCTGAATATAAATGTTAGAATTATATATAAATTTTACTATCATTCAGAAATATAGCTATTTATAGGATTAAAGACCAAGCAATTAATATGAATTATTTTGTTCTAGTTCCAAAAATTGAGACATGATCTTGAATTGGTACTATCTACTATTCAATCAAAGAATGAAAAGTTAAAGGAAGACTTGGAAAGGTATATTTACATTACAATTACCATTAGTTATTGATATGTCGAATTGACATTGATGCTTTATTTGGCTACTGTTTTATTTTTCTCTGTTGAAAGGGAGCAGCTATGGTTGGATGAACAGCAGCAGATACTTGAATCTCTTATTGTGCTGCATAATGAATTGAAACATCAGATCATGACAGTTTCTGAATCAAGGTATTATTTTCATGTTCTAGGTTTTTTAAACTAGGAGAAAATAATTTTTTTTTCTACATGAGATCCTGAAAAAAGATAAATTTTACCAGAAAATTTTGAGTCTTATTCTAACTTTTGCTGTCTGTTACATAATCTTTTATGAATGACTTGACTTTAGTTTCTATATGTATTATTAAATAGAGAATATTACATTCATAAAACTAGTTATATTTGGTTTGAGCAAATAAAATTTGCACAGAGTTCTTGATCAACCTTATGAAACCACTTATATACACTTATGTATTTTATCAGTGAAATATTTCTCTTAATTTTTTTTGAAATTTATTAGAATCTTTAATGAACTGAAAACTAAACTACATGCTATAAAAGAATATAAGGAGAAACTATTGGTTACCTTGAGTGAGTTTCTAGAAGACCACTTTCCTCTGCCTGATAGAAATGTTAAAAAGAAAAAGGTAAGTTCTAAAGAAGACATCATATAGATATACATATATGAAATTGTTGATATATTTTTGTATGTTATAAATATCAAAGATACACACACATAAATGCATGTAGAGAAATAGTACCTCATCACATTAAAATATTTATTGAAAAATTAGAGGCAGCCTTGTTCATTAATACAGGATGAGTTCAATGTATTTTTTTTAAGATTTTATTTATTTATTTTTAGAGGAGAAGAGAGGGAAAAAGACAGGTAGAGAAACATCAATGTGTGGTTGCCTCTCACACACCCCCCACTGGGGACCTGGCCTGCAACCCAGGCCTGTGCCCTGACTGGAAATGGAACCAGTGACCCCTTGGTTTGCAGGCCAGCACTCAATCCACTAAGCCACACCAGCCAGGGCTAAATGTATTTTTTGATATTGTATCCATATTATATGGGAAAGTGCATCTTTAAAAATGTATTGGACACTATCAAAGGAGTTAATGAAATGATCACAATTTATTGTTAAATGGATAAAACACAGGTGATTAAGTCGTGTTAGTCTAATTTATATCAGAAGATATAATAGTCCCTATGTCTAGGGGCTAGGATTGTAAGAGAGATATATTTTCATTTTTACTATTTTTCATATTTTCCATGAACACATATAACCTTTAAGATCGGAAGAATTGTTTAAAATCTGTTAATGTAAATTATTGACTATTTTAATAGTAATTAAGAAGGAAATAACCTCTTCTACAAAAGCAAAGAAATATTTCATTGGGTGACAGAAAATTGGGAACAACCACTTTAATTTCTTCTTTAAAAACAGTATATTGTATGAAACAAAAAAAAACCTGTCCAATTGTAGTAGGCATTGAAACTGCCACCAGAATGATCTTTCTAAAAATATATAGTTGAATCATTTTCAACATGGAAACTTTTTTTTAAATCCAAAGAACTTTATTTATTTTTTAAAAGATTTTATTTATTTATTTTTAGAGAGAGGGGAAAGGAGAGAGGAAGAGAAGTATCAATGTGTGGTTGCCTCTCACATGCCCCTTACTGGGGGCCTGGCCTGCAACCTAGGCATGTGCCCTGACTGGAAATCGAACTGGCGACCCTTTTGTTTGCAGGCCGGTGCTCAATCTGCTGAGCCACACCAGTCAGGACTCAACATAAAACTTGATGGTTTCCTACAGGATGAAATCTGTAACGTCTTTAGAGTAATAAATTGTATATTCTGGATTGTCTCTTTAGCCTCCTTTCCAAGCATTCTTTATCCGTCGTCTCCTTGATGAGTCTGTTTAACCATACCACTAGTGTTCTAGCAAATATGCAATGACCTGGCACTTTTGTGCCATATACATTGTCTTTTCTCTGCTTACAAAATGTTTCCTATCTGGTGAGATAGCGAATTCCTACTTATGGCAACTCAAACATCGTCTTTTATACAAAGCGTTGAATTAAGTTTATTAGCATTTATCACATAATTTTGTATTAATCATTTATGTCTATCTCACTGTCTGCATAGCATGTGTTGTGAGGTGCTTGATGTGTTTAATTCATCATTATATCTTTACTATCTTGCATGTCTGTTATAGTACTTCCTAATTTCATATGAATGACTGCATGTATACTAGGAAAAGGGAAAAAGTTCTCTTAGTTTTCTCATAATCTGTGTTTTTTAAATTCTTCCCTTTCTTATTTGTAACTACAGTAGGCTTTACATTTGTTATGGACTGTGTCTCCCATTCTACTCTCCATTGTTTCTTATGCCCCTAATTTATTTCTGAATTGTTGACAGCCTTCTGTTAACCATTACGTTAACTTCATGATTCTTTACCTAATGATAACAATGCTTCAGTGACTTACTTATTTTCTGATCCCTGTCTCCCTTTTATTCAACTTGTTAAAAACCTATTAACCTTCTTCACTAATAGAACCAGAAGTTTGAGGCATTTTGGAAAGGAAACATTGATTATCAGAAGTCATGAGTTCATTAAGTAGTGTTTGATAAGCTCACTTTTTTAATAGAAATATGTGAACTATTGATGCACATCACAGGTTAATAGGTTACTTTTTCAGTCAAGCAATAATGTTGGACACAATACTGGATGTATTAGTCAGCTCAAGCTGCCATAACAAAATACTGCAGACTAGGTGATTTAAACAAAAGAAATTTATTATCTCAGAGTTCTGGAGGCTAGAAGTCCAAGAACAGGATGCCATCAGGGTTGGCATCTGCTGCGACTTACTTCCTGGCTGTGGATGACTGCCTTCTTGCTATGTCCTCACATGGCCTTTGTTCTCTGTGTGAGTATGGAGAGTGCTCTTTGCTCTCTTCCTATTGTTACTTATACGGACACCAGTGCAGTTGGATTAGGGTCCCACTGTTATGACCACAGTTACCCTTAATCACCTCTTTAAAGACTCTATCTTCCAATATAGTCACATTGGTTAGGACTTCAATTTTGGAGGATGTAATTCAAACCGTAACAGTGGACTTTATAATTCAAAGATGTATACAAAGAAGAAAGAAACAATCAACCAAAATCCTTCTATCAGATCATTAACATTAGGTGAATGTCACTTGATACATCTAAACCCATACATGTATAGAAACATAAATGAAGTGATGGATGGGTGGATCAATGTAATTTTATATCGTCCAATGTAAAATAAGTATTAGAGGTAATTTTACCTACATTTGATAGAAGAAAAATGAGTGAAGTTGCATTTTTGAACTCATAAATATTTCTTTGCTTTAAATGATTTTAGTTCTGTAAAGATCCTTAATATTAATAAATTATAAAAGATTATGAAAGATTATAATACTTTGCTTAATTTTATCTTTCAACTTTAGGCAGTGTTTACTGGCTCCTTGCTATGAAAGAAGAGCAAATTAACATTCTTCCTCCAGTACTCTCATTCAAATTTGTGTTATTTATTTTTACTTTGGCAGGTTTATAGCATTTATATTCCTCTGATACTGTCATTTATGTATATGTTTAGTCTTTATTCCACATTTTATTGGATTCAGTAATTATTCTTTTTTACCATTCATTTTCAAATTTTAGTTTAATCCACTGTTTAATTTGATGGGTTTCCTTGACACATAATTTGCTCAAGAAGAATACCTGGGTGTTTTATTTTTTTCAAAATTTTTCAATATTTTTTAAAATTATTTTTAGTTATAGTTTATATACACTAATGCATATAAACTATACAATTATATAATTGTATAATTATATAATATAATAGTATATTAACATAATATACTATTATATTAATTTCAGGTGAACAACCCAGTGATTAGACATTTATATAATGTATGAATTGGTTACCCAATAAATCTAGTGCCCATTTGACACCGTACGTAATTATCACAGTATTGTTGACTATATTCTTTACATTGCCATGACTATTTTGTAACTACCAGTTTGTACTTCTTAATCCCCTCACCTTTTTCACCAGTGCTCCCACCCCCTCTCAGATCTGGCGACCGTAAAAATGTTGTCTGTATCCATGAGTCTGTTTCTGTTCTGCTTGTTCATTTATTTTGTTTTTTAGATTCCACATATAAGTAAAATCATATGGCATTTATCTTTCTTTGTCTTACCTTACTCAGCACAATGTCCTTTAGATTCATCCATGTTGCTATAAATGTTAAGATTTTATTCTTTTATATGGCCAAGTCATATTTTATTGTATTCTTTTATATGGCCAAGTCATATCATAATGTAACTATTCAGTTACAAGGTAATGTTAAGATTTTATTCTTTTATATGGCCAAGTCACTTCTTTATCCATTTGTCTGTTGGTGGACACTTAGGTTGTTTACATATCTTGGCTATTGTACCTAACACTGTAATGAACATGGGATGCATATATTCTTTCGTATTAGTGTTTTGGGTTTCTTCGGGTATACAAGTATACCCAGAAGTGGAATTGCTGGGTCATAAGACCTTTCCATTTTTAATTTTTTGAGGAAACTTCATACTGTTTTCCACAGTGGCTGCCCCAATCTGCATTCCCACCAACAGTGCATGAGGGTTCCCTTTTCTTCACATCCTCACCAACACTTGTTTGTTGATTTATTGATGATAAATTCACTGAAGATAGGTGTAAGGAGATACCTCATTATAAAACTATAATGCAAAACTATAATTTGCATTTCTGCCTGAAGAATTCTTTATTGTTGACTTTCAATAATTGAATAGGACATATTACAACATTGATCATTTACTAGTAGTTTTGCTTTGAAGATGATATATTGTTTCCAGGGGCAGATTTATGTCACCTTTATTTCATGGAAATTTTATTATATATCTTACAGTTTATGAAATCTTTATGTTGAAACTTTCTATTTGTTTGCTTTCATTATATTTTCGTCTGTGTTTTCTTGGATTGACTGAAACCTTCATATTTTAATCCATGCTTCTTATTTATCAATTCCTTATATGTATTTGGGGTTTTATCATTAGTGAATCATATGCTGCTTGATACCACATTTTCATTTACCTTCAGGAAAGTATAAGAGATAAGATTTTGAGATCCAGCTTTACTATTTTAACTCAGGAATCACGTTTTTTTTTTTTTGGTCAGGATTATTTTACTCTTTCAATAGTTTTCTATTTTCATGTGACTTTATAAGGACTCCGTGTTATTCTTTGACTGTGTCTGGAAAGTACTAGCTGTCATATATTGTTGGTGACTTTGCAATTAATTGAATGTCTGAACTCAAAAGATGCTATTTAGGATTAGTATTATTTGGAAGGAAATTTCTAGTTCCCCATAGAGCCTCATATTATTGAAAATTTTAAACAATAATTTGGGTTAAGAGGCAAAAGACTTGGTCATCAAAGTTTGCAAATACCATACACTAAGAGGACCAGATAGTGAATATATTAGATGATAGGACTGTATTTTTTGGCTGGCCAGAAAGTGACAGGATGATATTTAGGATGATATCTTTCTTGGTTTTAAAATATTAACAGAATTAAAGAGACATATCTAGATGTAGGAAAGAGACTAGCATTTTAGATAGTCTGTTCAGATAGAGATCAGCAGGGTGAAATGATGTTGAAAATCTAATGCAATCTTAAACTTAATGAATAGAATTCCAGCATCTACAAGTATGGAAATGAGTCTTCTTTTTTAACTTTGGCGTTTGAATCATTCCTATATTATTGTGGAAACTGGATTGAAAAAACAGAAAAGACACATTAGACCACATTCAAAGAACAACCATGATACTGAAGGGCAACAAGTCTATGGCTTATGAAAAATAATTGAAAGAACTAATGATGATTAATACAGAGAACACTTCAGGTTCATAGTAGCTGTCTTAAAATATTTGAGGAACTCTTGCATGGACCTGGAATAAGATTTATTTTTTGTCATTTAAAGGATAAAAGAACCAGTGTGTTGAGGTAACATTAGGAACTGTCAAGAACTGTAGAAAGATGAACAAGCCTCCCTCAGGAAGCAAGCTTTCTGTCCTGATGCAGTATAATTACAGTCTGGAATCCCTTTTGATTGGGAGATTCAAATACTAGACTTTTATATATGAGTATGTAATAACTTACCCATTTTATATGATAGATAGTCTGAATTGTATCTTCTGGTAATTGCAAAAGATTTCACTGTCTTAGAGGTTGTTTTAACTGTTTTTGTGAAGCTGACTATTTAATACAAGAAGGTCATTTTACTTTCAGAATTCTTTTCAAATCACTTAATTATAAGTGTTTGGTTTTAGTATATGTTGTACCTTTGCAATTAAAGAGTATTAATTTTTTAAATTTTGTAACAAATAGCAGTTTAATATTCTGCCATTAGCAGAATTGAAATGTTAATTCTTTTTATTCATGTTTTTCTCAAAGAAAAATACTCAAGAATCAACTACACAGTTGATAACACTGCATGAAATATTAGAGGTAAGTGTTTTGTGTAGTTGTTTTGTCTTGAAGATATCTCTTAATTTTGATTTGTGAACACTTTTACATAGGCTTAAAAAAAAATACTGCTTTAGTTCTTAAAGTATGTACCAATCTTTATTATATTTATCTTAATTTGTCTTTAATATAAAATTAGTTTTTGTTTTCTGTATATTACTAGAAAGAATATTGTAATTTTAAAAGTATTTTTTAATATTTATTTTTTAGAGAGAGGGAAGGGAGAGAGAAAGAGAGGGAGAAAAACATGGATCCATTGCCTCTCACATCACCCCCACCAGGGCCCTAACCTACAACCTAGGCATGTGCGCTGACTGAAATCAACTGGTGACCTTTAGCTTTGCAGAATGATGCCCAACCAAGCCACACTGGTTAGGGCAGAATATTGTCATTTTTTTAAATGACATCTAATTAGAGCCTAACTCTCAATCATTATCCCAAACATTATTACTTTTGAAAATGTGTGTGATGTTATTTAGTGTTTACACGATGAAATGCTCTGCTATTACATTGATGGTATCTGTAGTTGGCAACACTGAATTCTTCTGAAAATACATAAGTGAGTTTAAGGATTCTTTTAACAAAGTTGCACAAATCCATTCATAATTGTTCCTTAAATAACATTAGCCTCTTTTCTTTTTTTAATAATGTGAGGACTGGGTAATTCCAAACAATTATAGAATTGATAAAGAAATATCTCTTTCTGCTTAACATTTACCATTCTTTACAAATATCTTTGATCTTTTAAAATAATGTCTTTGAACTTCAGCCAATTACCAAATATGTTAAATACTTTAGAAATCTTGGTATGACAATCCATTGCAAATTGGGCAGAGAGGAAGATAAAACAATCTATGAAGGGTGAGATATTTAATAATTAGTGTGTTTATAAATTCATTGGCAAGTTGAAGGAGAAAGAGTGTTATTAAACTTGTTTCATTGTAATTTTATGAATTAGATGCTGAAGTTTCTATTTTTATCCAGCTAAGTAGCTTTGGTGCCTCAGGATATCTTAATATAGAATATTATTGCTTTGAAAGCAAAATACACATATTTATTAGATTTGTCATTAGAATCTTTTAATATATTTCTAATTATTACAGTTTACCGAAACAAAGAAACTACTGCTAACTTTAAAAAAAATTGTGATATATGTGGCAAACATTGACAGTGATTAACTGGGGAATGCAGGTGTAGTTTTTTTAATAGTATACTATGAGATCCCATCTAAATTTAGAGTGATAATGAAACCATGTTTTTGTCTCCAACTCATATTATCCATAACAAAATCATTTCAATTTAGCAAAAAATGAAACAATATACATGTTCATTTTAAAGTTGAATTTTTAGCATTTAATTATTTCTGGCATCTACTAGAATTAGATATGAAAAGTAAGAAAGATTTTAAATGATATTAAAATAAGCAATTATTTTAAAATAGGAATAAAATGTAGTTCTTTTTCATACCTAAAAGAATGAGACCAAAAGTTTTTTTCCCCAGAATGTATATTTGAAATAGCTAAAGTTAATGATAGATGAAAATTTTATTTCAAGAATTGAGATACTGCCCTGGTCGTGTTGGTTAGATCATCAACGCAATATGCCAAGGTTGTAGGTTCTATCCCTGGTCAGGGTACACAAAAGAATCAACCATTGAAACTATAAATAAGTGGAACAACAAATAGATGTTTCTCTTTCTTCCTTTCTCTCTCTAAAATCAATAAATAAATTTTCTAAAGAATTGAGAAATTGATATTATTATGAAATGTGGCTGAGATGAGAGCTTCATAGTTTCACTTTATTGCTATGTTACTTAATATTTGTATAAATTATGCTTTTTTTTCCATGTTCCTTAAAATAATCTTTAAATTAAAGCTTTGGCCTGAATTGATAATACATTTAGCATTTTTTAAACTATTTCATAGTATTTCAATTATCCATTTCTTGAAAAAACTTTCTTAATGCCAATGTGTCTGGCAAAGACAGATGATTCTCAGTGCACATTAGTCATCTTTCCCAAGCTTATTTTACCTGTTTTTCAAGACTAACAACGTCATTAGGAAGATCAATTCAGTGGCATACAATTTGGGAAATGTTAGCCTATATAACTTACTACAGATACCCGAAGCTTCTGTTTGTGGTTGTAACCCCTCAACACCTTAGTGAAGAAATCAAAGATATTCAAGGTGAAATTGAAGGAAGTGATGACTATAGAATTATTTTCAAGATTTATTAGAAGAATAGAGGTTTTGGGGTGGGGAAGCTCAGGGTCAGTGATTTCTTTTTCCTTCAAATATTAAAACATGTATGTATTTTGAACTTTATGCATATTTTGTGGAGTATTTAATTGGTTTAAGTTTCCTAGGGTAGGGTTAAGAACTTCTAACCAAACTTCTAATCTAAAGAAATAAACTTCAAGAGAAGTGGGAGAATTATAAATGTTTTTCATCAGTTTTTAGGAAATGTTTCCAAAGTTAAGATGTAAAGATTGATTTTAAAGTTTTTTCTATTCACTAATATTTGCAGTCTTTTAAAAAAGAAAATCAGTTAAGTTAGTTAATACATAGAAATTCTGATATAAACAATTACTCAAAGAAATAAAAACATTCTTTGGTTAAAAAAACCTTTTAATGTTTTATTATAGCTGTATCAATTTTTTTCCCAAGTAAGGTATACTTTGAATGATTTTTTTTTTCCCTAGATTCTTATGAATAGATTATTTGATGTTCCACATGATCCATATGTCAAAATTAGTGATTCTTTTTGGCCACCTTACATTGAGCTGCTCCTGCGAAATGGGATCGCTTTGAGACACCCTGAAGATCCAACTCGAATAAGACTAGAAGCTTTCCATCAGTAAAAGGGTGGTCTCTTTTTCACAAAGTACTTAAAGAATCTTGTCATTCAAGGATAATGGAAACACTGAGTATTACTTGGATAAAGAGCATTATTTGTGAATCAAAGCACATTGTCCATATTCCTTTTATCCTTAAAGTGACACATGCTGCCATCTATTCGTTTCAAAATGGGTCCTTTGGTGTTTTGAACTGAATGAAGAAGGATGCAAATAAAGATATTCTAGACTTAATCATTATAAAATATTTAATATATCTAACTTTTGCAATTTTTGGAAAATTATTAAATTATGGTATTGCTAATGTCTTAATTTTTTTTAAATGTGTGAGTTTCTTTAATGCATTTTGAGTTCTGTTTGCTGCTTACCTCCTTTAAATTTAGAAATTATAATTGAAATACCATTTAATATGGAGGCAGTTTTAAAATTTACTTAATATCTGGTGTAGAAAGAAGCATAATTTAAAAGCACCTAGTAAATGTGTTCCATGTGTACTGCCTCATTTATAGATTTGTTAAAAACTGAAATATTAAAAAATAGATAAAAGTAGTAGAAAGCTCTTTTAATGTGTATTATATATCAAGTGGTATATATTAAACCACTTCATTCTGTTAATTACTAATTACTAATTAATTACTGATTCCATTAATTACTATTACTAATGAAATTGTGGTCATAAAATTGTGTTAATGTTTGTGACTTTTCTATAAATAAAATTCTCTTTTCTAAAAATATCTCGTTTTTTTGTGATGTGCCATGACTTTTTTATAAACTCAATAGACTTTTTGATAGGTAGATAAATGAAGATATACAGCTGATTCAGGATTATATACTAGCTAAACTATAGAATTCCAAATCCATTTGGTATTGTTACTGGACTAAATGGGTTCATTTGCCTACACCCAATAAGAGGGCCTGGCCAGGTAGCTCAGTTGGTTAGAGTGTCATCCTCTTATGCCTGGGTTTCAGGTTCGATCTCCAGTCAGGGCACACTCAAGAAGCAACCAATGAATGCATAAATAAGTGGAACAGCAAATTAATGTTTCTCTTTCTTTCTTTCTTTTTTTCTTTTTACCTCTCTTCCTGCAGTCAATAAAATTAAAAACAAAAACAAACAAAAAAAACGGCCCAGTAAGACATGAACAGGAGTTTGCAGCAATGAACGTAAGGGTTTATTAGTTAGGAGGTGGCCCATGTCCCGAGTCATAGGTGAGCTAATGCTCAAATACCTGGCTAATCTATGGCTTCCAGGGGATGGGTTATATAGGGGAAAAATCATTAAGAATTGTTACCAAGGGAGCTAAAGTCATGGTGTTTACTGGTTGGCTGGTGCATCTGATCTTTATGTCAGGAATGGCATTACTTCATCTGGTTTCACCGCTTCTCTGGGTCTGGAACTGAAACAGCTGAGGCCTAGATGCTATCACTAGTTTGACGAAACTGTCTCTGTGGTCAACTGACCTGAGGCTTTGTTCTGAAGGTTATTTGATACTGATCAGAACATCATAGTCATGAGGGCTGAATGATTATGGGAGTGGATGTGCAAGGGAGAAAGAGGCAGGTGAGTCAGGGTGATGGATGAAGACAGTTTGAATCAAAAAGGAAAGAGAAAAGGTCATATTAAATGAAGTTTCTACATGGTTGCAACCCCCCTTTTCTTTTGATCATTCCTCAGTCCTGAGGAATATAGGGCAACTGGGTCCAAGTTCAATCAAGAGGGAGGATTAGCTCATAAAATGGTGAGATTTGTCTGCTGGTTGTGCCTCTCTTATTTGGCTCTTAAAATCTCACATGCTCACCTCTTCCCTTATGGTTCCTGTGTCTTAGAGGGGCATTCTAGTTGTTTAATTCCATAAGCAGGAACCACAGCAATGGTAGGTGAAACGCTAGGCCAGTATACCTGTACCCAAGTAATCAGAGCATACCTGATTCTTTAAGGTGTCTTTAAGACTGCCAGCAGAGAAGACTTCTATGTGACAGCGTCATAGCTTAATTTTTGTTAGAATGAAGGGAAGCTGTGACAATCCAACAGATTCCCCTAACCCACAGTTCAAACATCCCTGATGAACGTTGTGACACCAGCTCCCTGTGTGGCTTACACAGTATCAATCCCCTAAGCCATCCAAGCAAAAGCTGTCATGATGATTTCTCCAAAGTTTACATTATGTTGTACTCATTATGTATGCATTATGTTGTATCATAATCAGCAGTTCCTGAATCTTTTGCAAGGCCCAAAAGAAACAGTTTTAGTTCTCAGTAACTCCAAGGCAAAGGATGGGAGGAAAATGAAGCACTAGTTCAGAGGGCTGTAGCCAAATACTTTCATTAGAAAAATTCAAGATCCAGTCAAGTCTACAGATGACAAGATTTTAGAGACAATTAACTAGAATCTAATATCTACAAATGGACATTATGGTTTCTATTGAGACATTTTCTCTCTCTAAAATTACCCTCATTTTATCAAGCATAACCAAGTAAGGCTAACTTACTGTATAAGTCTAGTTTCAACAAATTTGGACTTTTATTTGCATACTTATGAAAAGAGTAGTGATTGATCATACAGGCTCTTTTAAGTATGTTCTGCTGGGATTTCATAAGGAATCTCCAGATTGAACTCTAACCTCTCAGGGCCGAGAAGCCAAGCCACATAGTTACCATCAGCATTTGTCTGCAATACCTGTTGGTTTGGGTGAATTCTTCAGGTTCTTGAGGTTCCCCCAAATGCTCTGAAGTTATTATTTTGCCATCTCCCAGGAGAGCAACCTTAGTTCCTTACCTGAAAGGACTACAGTGAACCATGCAAGTAAAGTACTGAGCTGTTTTTCCATTGGGGCTTTTACTGTCTTTCAAAGTCAATATTAATTCCTTAAAGCTTTCTGATGACATCCAGAGTCTATGCATCTCTCTTTCAAATATGACATTCCAGTCAAAGTCTTGGTGATAAACCAATTTCCAATTGTGTCCTATTATAAAAACATACTTATTGAATTTATGCAAATCATACTGCCATGAAAATAATAGAGTCTCCAAACTTCTAGAGGGATCAGGTAGGGAGAAAAATATGTCTCAATATTGCTTACAAAGGTATAATTTAACAAATCGCTCTAACTCAAGGTAGTTCAAGAGAAAACAAGTTTCCTTGTATCTGAGAAACAGATTAAAAATTAGCAGTATTTTCAACAAAGATATAAAAATTATAATCATCCTCAGTTCATTCAGTCCCATATAATTAATTCTTGTCTATGTTAATCCTTTGCCAGCAGTTCCTGAATCCAGTTATTCCTTAGAGCTTTATAAATCTTCACAGAGTTTAAAGGTATGATCTGAAAGTTTATTCTCAGGATCTTTCTGAAGATGAAACATACTGGGAAAAGCATCAAAGTAAAACAATAACTATCTATAAATGACAAAACTAAATGACATAGCTATAGATCTGATTATAATGTAATTGACAGAAAACTTTGCTTTTCTGTAACAACATTTTAAGATAATTTAGACTATGTAGAGTTGGAGATTTTTATATAATCTTCAATATATAATATCCCATAATAATAAGAATATATGCACACAAATACAACACAAGATTTTCTTAGTTGACAAAACTTGTGCAATTCTAACATCAAATAGGCCTTAGTAGTTTAAACCTCTCCCTTGCAAGGAGAGAAAGAAAAATGATTTGAGGTGTTTCAGGCATCCATTGGAACAACTGAAAGCTATTTCTAAGTGAGAAAAATGACTCCTGTTAAAATTTGAATTCTAGGAAGTTTTTCAAACACACTTGACCAAAAAAGATCATTATGAATATTAAATAATTTACTCAAACTGACCAAAGGTATAAAAAATGCAGATTAGCAAAACTTACAGTTTTCAGATTCAGAAAATCGTTTTCTTAAGTAATCAAGTTCCTGATCAAGATAGCAGAAAACTATTTTAATAAAACATAGAATCTCTGCTTCTTTTTAGGAAGAAAACATCTGGAGTAAAATGAATACAAGAAAAACTTTCTTTTTTAACAGGATGAAATGGAACTAAATTCTTATGCTGCATTAGTTTACTTTTGATATTTAAATTCATTTACATAGTTAGATTTTCATCTTATTCAGCTTGACTCTATATAAAATCTCAACATCTTCATAGACCTTCTATAACTTTCTTAGTTCCTCTTAGTTTGTCTCTTCTTAGTCAGAAATAGTCAACCTTAATTTGAGACAAATCTTATCCTTTTAATTGCATTAAAAAATTTATTACCATACCTTACCCCTTTTATTATTAAATTTCCATCTTAATTAGAAATCTTAATTTTGGAACTTCAGTTTCCTGTGACAACTAAAAAGAAAGCAATTAATAATATTCTTTGGATTGATATATTTATGAACACGTTTAGTAATTTCTAAAAATATATTTTCTCATATCAGTTTTAAATGTGGCATAAGATGATTACTAATGGACCCAAATATCTTTAGTTTCTTTGTAATAAACAGAAAGATAAATCTATGTTCAATAATTAATGTTTCATTTAACTTATTTAGAAATGGTCTACACATTCAATGACTATCCCTTATTTAATATCGCTAGCAAAACTTTAAATTGAGTTTCCAGTTAACAAAGATTTATAAAACTATTAAAGTACACTACAATTATTGCTTAGAGAGGTAACTTAAAAGAAACTTTTTATCCTGTTTGCATTTTGTTAATTTACTTGCCTCTAGCAATTAAATTTAGATTACTTACGAAAACATCATACCAAGTTTCTTTCTGACAAATTTTACAACAGAGCTACCACGGGCATATTTAACTAACTAATAAACCCAGGTAGAATAAAACTATTATTTAATGCTGATGATTTTAAATCTATACATATTTAACCAGACCAAACTCAAACCAGCTTCAATATAAAACATTTTTCAGATCATGTGATTCTGTAAAGCATTTTAGTTTTTGTTATATTTTTGGGACTTCTCATATAAGTACTTGTTTGCTTAAGCCATTTTAATAGACTTCCTTTTAAAAAAAAATTTAAGAATACCATTCAGATGTAGAAAATACTACAATGCACATGG